TGGCATTTTTTACTATGCGGTCGAAGTAGAAGCTTATGGCATATACCTATAAATAACAATTTTCTTAAAATTAACTTTTAAAGTTTGAACAGTTATAAAATAAAAAAAAATAAAAATCTATGCCATAGACTTCTATGTTGGAAATATACATATGTATATTCTCCAAAACTTATTTAAGTAGTTTTCCTTTCCCAAAATAAATATAAATTTTAACTTTTAACTTATGTTCCTTCCGTAACATATAATTATAAATATCTGGGTGATATAATTTAATTTCTAAGTTAAATCGGGCTCGTTTTCAATGATAAACCTATCAGAAAGAGATCCTCATTCCAATAATACATATATTTAATTTACCATAAATAAACGTCAAGTCGGAGTTGAGAATACAACTTATCCTTTATAATATTCGTATATTTGGCTACGCCTAGTAACTTACATTTGCTGAAATGTGTTAAATATGAATTTCCACCACCTATACTTTTAAGGTTATATGAAGCCCATTACTCTCGTAACTTTTAGACCTTATACTTAGGGTAATAAAGAACACATAAATTAATATTCAAGTATCATTCTACTTATGGTATTTTAGTTGTGAAGGCAAATAAAGCATTCCTCGCGCCAGAAAATGACCCAACACAAATTACCCTGCGCTGGGCGTTATTTAATAATATAAAATATGTTAGCAAACCATTATTTTCTATTTCGTGATTGTCAATAGTAAAAAAAATTGACAAAAAAAAACTGATATACTATGATGACACTAGGAATTTGATGACAACATCAATACATCTGTACGAAATATCATCAACACGCTAATCATATTATAAGAGCTAAGAAGAAACTAAGAAGATTATAGAGTGAAACTTGCATTACTAAACCCTCGTGAAAGATTTCAGTCACCTCGTACTCACAATTCCGTCTCACACTGCACACGTAAGTCAACTGACCTATGCACTATTTTTATTTTCCCTAAGTGTTAGACAGAATTACTAAATCGCACATAAACTGCATAGCTACAATAAACCATCACATTTCTTATTTTATATTTCCACAAAATCCAAAACGAAAAGAAGTTAAAAGTTGTTAGTTTAGAAAATAACAGTATGGATGGATCCCAAGCGAAAAAAGGCAGACTTCACTTTAAAAAAAATTACCATTTTTATAAACCAAAGGGAATCCAGTAAGCTTAAAACAATGTAATAATTAATACATTCACCGTCATCGGTGAAAAAAAAAACAGATACGGTCGATTTTGGAGTGTTCATCTCGTATCTTTTGATAAGCATTACTAAACTGTTAACTAATCAGCGCTGGAGTTCCAATGTGTGGGATTGCTTGGAATTTTGGGTCAAGATGCGCGCTTACTTTCCTCAAAGTAATACTTCCATATTTTATTTGTGTTCACTGATTCTTGTCTTGTTCTACAAGAGTTGGATACATTTCAACTCTATAATTTTAGAATTACTTAAAATACAACATCACGATCACTTTAATTATAATTCTCTACTAATTTTGATAGCATTTAAAAGATTTTACACTTTCAAAATGATTCCATTTAGTTTTAAAAATTTAAAATAAAGTTTATTTCTATATTAACAAGTCATTAAATATGCAGTGAGAAATATTAATATTTTAGATAAAACTAAAATTTATTTGGTTTGTGATTTGCCATGTTTGGATTCTTAATTTACTTGGTGAGTATTTATAAGGAAGTGCTTGGAAAGATGAAAACTAATGTGATACTAATAAATGCTAAATGAACACAAATTATAAGGCTTCATATGAACGGCTGAAATCCATTCAAATTGTTTAAAAAAAATGTCTGGTCTTCAGAAATAATTGTCTTATATAATAGAACATTGTAAAGTGCATTTTATTATTTTTTTTAATACATTTTCACAATTTATATTCAGAAACATTTATAAACAATAAAATACAAACCAACCTTAGCTTTTCCTACCGACGTTTTGTTATAAAATTCATTGAGGCCATTTTAACGTTTATTACGTACACCACCGTGGTGTCCATTACGTTCGGGCCTTGCACATTTTCATACAAAAGGCTTTCAATTACGATTACTTAATTTGGGTTTTAGCTTAAAGGTAACCCCACTGTGCCTACGAACAATATTTGTTGTGAATCAAGACTTAATTAATATTCTATTGGGTTTCATGCCAAACTTTTTTTAGTTAACAGTTTAATAGATAAAGTTTATTTATAATACGAAATAACGTGATGTATAATTGTTCATTATTTTCAATTACCAGGGGTCACGTTGTGGGATGTCGATACTACTTTCATTTTCATTTTTTCTATTTAATATGTTGCCTCCGCACTAAGATTTTCTCCTGTATCGTGGTAAATTTCACAAGGACAAACATCCAGACCCGAATCAATTATTTGTAGGCTGTATAAATTCTTGTTCTTCTATCATGTCAAGCAGGCAGTCGATGAATGTGGGTGTCAGATACGAATGTCTCAGGGTCGTGGTTGTAAGCAGTAGTATATGAGGGAGATGTGTTTTAGTGGTGGTCTTCTGATGGGCTGTGACGTAGGAATGAAAGTTGTTGCAGATGTTCCGCCCGTATCGAGGCTGAGTAGATACTTAAAAACAATAATCTTTAAAACCTTAACATCCCATATCTAATGATTGCAATTTTTCATATTAAAAAAGATATAAGCACTATACGGTTTAATAAGAATTGATATATTGATAATATCCATAAGATAGAAACATAGTTAAAAATTTATACGAACATGTAGTAGATGATTAGCGTGGTCGTAGTTTTTTTTTTTTATAATACTTTTATAGATGTTTTAACTCACGAAGGCGGGTTGGACTTAAATATGTGGAGAATGTGCGCTTAGTATTGCCTAAGTTTATTTCGCGCAAAAATTTGTCGTTTAGTACCCATCAGCATGGAAAGTAAACGGATAAAAGTTGTGCGCTGTGAGTTAAGCAAATTAATAATTATACATAGTTTAATTGTACTCGTAACATGTGATACGTGATTCTTATTACGTAATGTTAAAAAAGTGTAAGTTTTTCGCAAGACAGAACATGAATTCACGTTAAGTCATCAAGAACCAAACTACATAAATATAACATAACTAGCGATCAACCCCGGGTGATTTTTGGATCTCAACAACAACGTCACCTTAACGGAATCTAAACCAACTAGGAACACAAAAACTCATCAAAATAGGTCGTGCCGTTTTTGAGTTTCTGACGGACGGCAATTGTTTTTTTATAATATAATTATAGTGTAACATATATAAATTTGTGAGATTGATAGTGACGATAAAACTGACACGGTGGACGAGTCTAGTTATTACTCCACTTAAGATTTTTTTTTTAATTTAATACAATACTTGTTTGTACATGTATATGATGTATTTGAATAATATTGAACACGAAAATTATTTTATTTTACCGCTTAACGAAACACTGATCCAAACTGCTTGTATTATAGTGTTTTATAAAAATGAGTTTGCTAACGCTACCTGCTGTTATGGCACACAAGAGCGCGTGTCTATGTACATAACAACAACATGTATTGCCCGCCCGCCTTCGAGACTTAAAACATCTATATTTACATACATTTTATATAATAAAATGTAAAATAAATTTTCTTTAGTTTATTATTGTACTGCTAAAGTTATATAAAGAGGTAAAGAATGATCAAATATACTTTGTAACTTAGTAAATTTATTCTATTAAATACTAAACTAATGGGTATCTTTACATTACTACACACCAATTTTATAGGAAGTAAATATATTCGGGATTTATTGAAGTTTAAAATATTAGCTATGAATGAAGACATTGATGATTTAATAAAAAAATTGTATTGGCACGTGCTTAAGTCGCTTCTGCACGTGTTAGTTGCGATGGCTGCGATTTAAGCTTATTAAACGTGCTTACATGAGCATATTACTTACTTTATATTTGTACGATTATTTTATTGTATACATAAGTGTTTAAATACTTGCAACTAAATACCAAATTGTATGTTGCATTTTTACTTTAAATTGTCGTCGTTTTAAACAATAAAAATACTTATAAATCTTCTAGTTTTATTTTTCAACCGGCTTCAAAAAAAGGAGGAGGTTCTTAATTTGACAGTATTTTTTATGTGTTATTGCATAACTTTTTTCTAGGTGAACTGACTTTGATGATTCTTTTTTATTTGACGCACCTGCTAATTCTTAACCCGTTAGGTCACCTGACCGAGCTTATAGGTTAATCGAGGATAAATGTAGATATCTATGGGTCACAGTAACCACTTACCATCAGGTGGACTTGTTTGTCACCCTATTCTATAAAAAAAACCCTCACACTCACGGGACGATATCACAGTATAAATATGTACAGTAAAGAAACTAAGCTTAGTTGAGGACATAATTACCTACGCTCCATGGAAGCGAGATAGGGTTGTGACTTTTAATGTTTTTGATATTTTTTGTACATTTTTGTTATGTAGTGATCAATCAATGGAATTTAAATAATTAGCTTACAAATGAAAAAGTAGGTAATTTCATGGCGTCGGTTAATCTCAGCAAAAGACAATAGTTTAAAAACGGAAAACGTGTATACATCCACATTCACGGCCCTATGCTAGTTCGTTTCGGACTACAAAGGCGTACGGACGATGTATTTTAGTCATACACTATCTTAATTTTTTCCAACGCTTTCTAATAAATTTCTGGTTTTGGACGTTTAAATAGAGATATGTTGCCACAGCAAATAAAGTTATTGCAGCAGCAGCTTATACGTCTGTTTCGCGCCGGGTTTCACGGACGATTGTGAGCATCCCGTGAATGTGGAGGGCACGACTTGTGCCGTGAATTAGTGGCGTGAATTCACGGCGATAATATGAAGCCGCCATGACGATTTGGTGTGATGGATTCTCGTGCGCCGCCTCCACAGGGCACAATATACTATTATTTTATTATATTATGTTTAGACATTCGCATACTCTACACTACAATCTTAACTATAGTGTAGTATAGTAACATTGACAATATTCGTGGCCGTTCGCTCCAACATGTAACAGCGATGAAGCGGGCGCTGGGCTACCGGTTGATGCGGGCCTCAGCGAAGGTTCACTTGAACGTGGACGCAGTATTCCGGGCGCTGGTGGCACGATGCCTGGCCGAATGTGCGACCTCTTGACTCTTGCTGTTGTCCACTTTTCATATTGCCCGCCAGGCATTTGTGTGTGTGACGTGTTGTCAGAGGTTGTAAACATGGACAACGATCTTTTATTTTTAATCGAAGATTTTTAAATTAAGTGGGAGATGACAAAAAGTAGAATTAACGTGCAAGTTAAATTATTGAATAAAGAAACGGTATGATGGATTTTATACCTTATATATTAAAAAAGTTACATTCCACTACGTTCTACTCCTGGGCACAGGCCTTCTCTCATTTCTGAGAAGGTTTTAGACTAACCCCTGACTGCCCCAATGCGTGTTCGAGTCATCGAAATATTTTTTATGTTCTAGGATATGTAATACTTACGATATTTTCTTTCACCGTAGAGTACGTAGTAAATCAGGACTTAAAATTTTAATTAATAATTTCATTGGTGCCGGCGGGGTTCGAACCCGGGTTTTTTTTTTATAGAAGAGGGGTCAAACGAGCATGCGGCTCACCTGATGTTAAGTGACTAACGCCGCCCATGATCAACCGCAACACCAGGGGAATTGCAGGTGCGTTGCCGGCCCTTTAGAAAGGAGTAAGCTCTTTTCTTGAAGGTCCCCAGGTCGTATCGGTCCGGAAAAATCGCCGGTGGTAAACTATTCCACAGAGAGGTTGTACGCGGAAGAAAACTCCTTTTGAAACGTACTATGGTGGACCGCCAAGCATCCAGATGGTGTGGATGGTATTGGGACGTTTGCCGCGTAGTGCGTTCACGGAATTTGGCGGCTGGGATTAATCCGAACAATTCCTCAGAGCACTCTCCATGGTATATGCGAAATAAAATGCAAAGAGATGCAACATCTCTTCGCAGTGCCAGTGAATCGAGCCGATCGGAAAGCACTCGGTCGTCGACGATTCGAGCCGCTCTGCGTTGGATGCGGTCAAGTGGAAGGAGCTGGTACTGGGGAGCCCCAGCCCAGAGATGGGAACAGTATTCCATGTGCGGCCGAACCTGCGCCTTGTAAAGTTGCAGGGGGTGTGCCGGCATGAAGTACCGTCCCGCTCTGCTGAGCACGCCAAGCTTTTTAGAGGCCAATTTGGCCTTCTCTTCCAAGTGACCACGAAACTGCACGTCACTCGATATGTCAACGCCGAGGATTCCGATACTGGCGGAGGCAACAAGGGGAGTGCCTTGAAACTGAGGAGATACGACAAAGGGGTTCTTTTTAGCGGTTAACGCGCAAACTTGTGTCTTCTGGGGGTTAAATTGGACTAGATTTAGTCGCCCCCAATCCGAGACTCTGTTCAGCAAGGACTCGACTTCAGACACAAGTTTGTCCCGGCACTCGGAGACGTTTTCCCGAGAAATATTGGCTCGGCCGGTGTAAAGAGCATCACCAGTGCTGTCATCTGCATAGCAATGAATGTTACGGGTTTGCAACATATCATTGATATGCAGAAGAAACAGCGTTGGCGATAGCACGCAGCCTTGTGGAACACCAGCATTAATAGGCTTGCAATCGGAGCTTGCACCGTCTACAACGACCTTGATGCTCCGATCTGCAAGAAAGCTGGTGATCCAATCGCACAATTTCTCGGGAAGCCCATAGGAAGGGAGCTTCGAAAGAAGCGCTTTGTGCCAAACCCGATCGAAGGCCTTCGCAATGTCCAAACTAATGGGCCAATGCCTCCCCCTTGGACTCTATTGCCTCCGCTTATCTGTGTGTTAGGTAGACCCGAAGATCACCAGCTGACCGACCACGGCGAAAACCGTATTGGCGGTCACTAATCAGCTGGTGATCCTCAAGGTACCTCATGAGCTGGCAGTTTACAATGGACTCCATTGTTTTGGAGAACGAGGAGGTGATGGCGATAGGCCGGTAGTTGGACGGGTCTGAGCGGTCGCCTTTTTTAGGGATCGGGTGGATGAAAGCCGTCTTCCATGATTTTGGGGCTACGCCTAGGGAGTAGGAGCACCGGAAAAGACGCGTTAAAACCGGTGCCAACTCTAGAGCACACGTCCTCAGCACAATTGGGGGGATTACGTCAGGCCCACTCGACTTGTGGATGTCCAGGGAGAGGAGTGCTTTGCGAACCGAGCGCTGTGTGAACTGCACTTCCGGCATGGAGCACTCACGCCGCGGGATGGTCGGCGGCGTACTCCCCCCGTAATCGAGAGTCGAGTTGGACGCAAAGAAAGAGCCCAGAAGATCGGCTTTCTCCTTTGCGGTATGGGTCAGTGAGTCGTCCTCCCTGTGCAGAGATGGAAGAGATGGCTGACAGAAACTCCCCTGGACAGCCTTGGCGAGAGACCAGATTGTACGAGTTCCAGAAGGAAGGCGAACTAGTTTCTCGCAAATTCTTCCTATGTGCTCTGACTTTGCCTTAGCAATGACTCTTTTGAAGGACTTAGAGGCGGAATTATACTTCTTTTTGGAGCGCTTCTTTTTTAGGTATTTATATCCCGGTACGCTGATGCGTCAGCCCAGGCTCGGTAGCACTCCTGCTTATAGCATGATGCTATTTTACAGGAGCGACCCAACCATGGCTGAGATTTGCCTCCAATGGGCACCACAGAGGAAGGAACAAAAAGTTCCATACCCTGAAGTACCACATCAGCGACAGAATCCGCAAAAACGTTGGGATCGTCCGGTGAGAAGCAAACCCGCCCCCAAGGGTAGGATGCAAAGAAAGACCGCATCCCATCCCAATCGGCTGACCTATAGTGCCAAACACGGCGGCAGCCTGCAGAATGCGACTGCGATTTCAGCGTGAGTGGCACCTTACTCCGGACAAGACAATGGTCCGAGGAGCCTAAAGGGGCTTCGACGTAAATCTGATATCCGTCCGGGTGAGAGGTCAGCAGAAGGTCCAACAGGGAAGGTGCATGATCCTCCACATCTGGAATCCGCGTAGGCGAAGTAACCAGTTGTGTCAGACCATATGCCAAGGCAAAATCATGAACAGATCTCCCCGCATGATCGGTTAAACGTGAACCAAGCCATTCGGCGTGATGGGCGTTAAAGTCGCCGAGGATCACGATCTCTGCGGAGGGGATCTGCTGTAGCAACGAATCTGTAGCCATTTGGACGTGGTCGAAGAGTCGGTCTGTTTCGGCATTACCGCTATGGGACCTATAGAGGCACCCGTAGACGCGCGGTTGGTCGTCGCTATCTACGCGTAGCCACAGGATGGACAGGTCCGAGCCTTCAAGTCTGCCGAGGCGTCGAGAACAGATGTCCTCTCTGACGTAAACGCAAACTACAGCCCGAGGCACAAAGGAGTGTTCCAGTTTGTACCCCGGGTAGGAGAGATACGAGACATCAGCCGGAGAGGACACCTGCGTCTCGGTCAGAAAGAGCAGAGCCGGCCTCGCCGTCTCGAGATGGTAGTGGACGGCGTTTAGGTTAGAGTGAAGTCCCCTGACATTGCAGAAATTCACGGACAGCGTGGCATGGGGCGCCTTGGTCTTGTTGCTCCGTTTGCCCCGAGCAGTTATAGTCTTGAGCGGAATTTTGCCCCCCCCCCCCCCCCCCCCGGAATACGCGGGGCAGCCTGAGCACCCACGCTCAGAAGTGGAGAAACATGGTCGTGGATGCTCAGCGAGGGATTCTCCAGGGGTGCTGGTACCCTCCTGGGATAGTCTATCATTATTTAATTCCGCTACCATGTTGATGGGGGGGGGGTATTTGGGCCTCCGGCCCCCTGCACTCACTAGACCAAACGCGGAAGCAGAGCTTTCACTTCACGCCGGTATTCTGTGAGGTCGTGGTACCACCCCGGTTTGAGCCGGCCCATACGTGCAACAGCAAAGCTGCCGCGTGGCTCTACCACTTTTAAATGGTTGCTCGCGTATTGTGATATATACAACGAGCCCTTAGCCTCTGAGCTACCGCGGCTTTAAAGCAGTAATTTCTTTTTTTTTTTCTTTTCTTTTCTTTTATTGGATGTACACAACAGTTTACATTCAATTTTATGTAACATAAATAACTATTATATACAAAGTTTTGAACTGGAATACAAACCAAAAACGCGTACATACAGTTGCAACATGAATTATCCGTAAACATATTTATGTATTATATTTTACTCAAAAAAAACTATTTATAAATTTAACAAATTTTACAACAATATAGTAAAAGTTTATTATGACGATAAATAATTAATGTGGAGTTGACTTGAAGTAGTGGAGTAGTTGAGTACGTAGCTTATTTACATTATTGTCAAAGACATCAATGTCCTTACCTGACTCCGTTAGAACTATATCATTATAAGAGCGACACATTCGTGTTAAAGGATTGTAAAATGAAGTATTGTTCTTATAGACGTTTAATATAAACGTATTAAGACGACCCCTGGGATTAGACTTAATATTGAAAGTGATTTGTGATAAAAGATCTGGGGAAACAATTTTGCAGTGTACTTATTAGTTTATGTAAGCAAAGAATATCTTGTATAGCACGTCTATTACGCAGTGATGAAACTCCAAATGTAAGTAGTCTCTCCTGATAAGACGGTAGCTTGCGACTTATTTTCAGCCTATAACTAACTATCTTAAGAGCTTTGTTTTGGATCTGTTCTAGACGCTTGGAGTGCACTTCGTAAAATGGAGACCATACAACAGACCCATACTCAAGAGTACTTCTTATTAAAGCATAGAAGAGATGTATAAATGTGGATGGTTTTTTGAAATGTTTGGTTGTTTTGGTAATAAAACCTAATGTTTTGAATGACTTAGAAATAATGTAATCATAATGATTTCTGAAACTAAGTTTTTCATCAAAGTAAACACCTAAGTCTTTTGCAACTGAATTACGCTTAAGAATTTGACCTTCAAGTATATAATCGTGATTTATTTTATTGCGTTTGTTGGTAAAAGAAATAACGAAACATTTTTTTATATGTAAGTACATACAGTTTTGTTTGCACCAGTCAGCAATTGTGTTAGCATTATTTTGCAAATCAATACAATCATTAAGGTCATTAATTTTCTTGAACACTTTAAGGTCATCTGCGTATAATAGACAAGGACAGGTTAGTTTTGGGATTAGGTCGTTTATAAAAATAAGAAAAAATAGAGGGCCCAGATGAGATCCTTGTGGTATA